TGAATTATTTTTTATGTTCCTGACTTGAAGAGAAGAAATTTATTTTTCCTAGGAAATTTCTTCAATTTTTAATTGCAAAGGATATTCATAACACAACACATAAGTTTAGATATTCCAGTGATTAAAATTTTCAAGGTTATGTATGTATTATCAGTTACACAAGAAAAGGAATTAGCACAGAATACCAGTGATTTCATGGATTTTTAAAGCAACAGTACTTACCCAAAAGTTACAGGTTGGGATAAGCACACATGCAATGCTAAAGGTATGCTCATGAATGTTTCATAACTTCATGTAGTGAGACTTATGAAAACATTTATCAGGAACGTGGTGGTACAGATCATTACTTTGGACCCTCAGGCACTGAATTTTCATGTTTAAATTCTATGCTTCCTATTGAAAAATATAGTGAAAACTCACTTCTAGCCATTGACAATTGTTTGGTTTGTGGAATATGTGTATACCTACCACACCTGAAGCTAAAACTCACATTAGAGACTTTTATTTGGCCTATCCCTAATTTTTACACTTGATAGAATCTATCATGTATAAAGGTAGAAAATGAGACTTTTTGTGATGAAACCAATTACATGCCTTCAGATAGGTAGGAAAGTTTAATGAAATTATTGCCTAAATAACCCTTTGATACACTTATAAAAGCACATAAAAAGAAACAAATTTATATGGAAGTTATTTAAATTTATTTGAATTTTGGGTTTTATGAACAAGTGAAGAATGTGCTAAGGTTGGTCACAATATTGATTATGAAATTATACAAAGTCAAATGTCATGTTGAAGCACAAAAGTATTTTACAAGCATGTTAAAATGTTTAACCAAAAAAAAAAAGTGTTCAAGTCTAGTAAAAAACTATGCACAGGGTGACACAAGAAGGATAAATCTTTAGAACCTTGCTCTGAGCATTATGTTGAATTTCAGAGCCCAGATCTGTTAATGCAATTGCATGGTATTTTTCAAGCCTTAACAAAGAAATAGTGAAATTAAGAGATACAGGAAATAAAATGAGTCATGAATTGCAAATGTTGAATAAAATAATATATTGGTAAGTTTACTTACTAAGTGTACTGATTTCTTTCATTTCATCCTGAAGAATTCCCTTTAGAACAATTTCCAAATGATAAGTTTAATCAATATCTGATTACCTAGGAATGTCCTAATATCTCACTAATCTTTAATAATAGCCTTACTTGATGTACAATTCCTGGTACCTTTTATTTGTGTCTATATTTTACATGTTAGCATGTGCATTCTGATCTCCGTTATTTTTAGTGAAAAATCTTACTGAAGATTATTTGAAGTGTGACTTTTCTCTTGATATTTCTAAAATCCTCTCATCCTAAAACTTTTGACAATTTATTATGTATCTTATGTGTTTTATCTTTGACTTTATACTCCTTAGAGTTCTTTGAGCTTGAATATGCAGATTCATGTTTTTGTTTGATTTGGTTTTTATCAATTTGGAAAGTTTTCAGAGATTGTTTCTTCAAACATCATTCCGTACAGCTCCTTTTTTTCTCTCCTGTTTCTTTCTTTGAATATGTTTGTGTATTTGCGTGTTGGTATACTACATTGTGTGGCACAAATATTCCTGTTCTTCGGACTAGATTATCTCAGTTGACTCATTTTCAAGTGATTTACTCTTTCTTTGGCCTGCTCAAATATGCTATTTGGCTCAAGCTTTTTTTGAGGGGCTGGGGTGTACTGGGTATTGAACTCGGGTCCTTGTGTTTGCGAGGCAGGCAGTAAAACCACTGAACTAAATCTCCATCCCTCAAACAATATTTTTAATTTAAACCACTATACTTTTCAAATGAAGAATGTCTACTTGAATGTTTTTATAATTTTTAATCACCTTATTGATTTTTTTATTTGGTGAAAAAGCATGTTTTACTTTATTTCTATAAGCATCTTCCTTTCGCTCTTTAAACATACTTCTGGGATAGTTTTTGTTGAGTGCTATTTTTTATTATGTATGGTCCATATGGTTTTTGTAGTCATTATTGTTCAAAAAAAGCATTTTAAATAATGCAAGGAATATCAAAAGTCTTTTATGGGGGATTTTTTAACCTGTAGATCACTATGACATTTTCAGCAAATCCTTTTAATTTGTGAGAATGGAGTTGTTTGCATCTTCTGTTGTTCTTTTACTTTCTTCAGTATTTTATAATTTTCACCATAGCAGTCTTTAACCTCCTTGGTTAGGTTTATCCTTGGGTATTTCTTGAGGATATTGTAAATAGAATTATTTTTTATTTCTTTCTCAGCAAGATAATTATTAGTATACAGAAAAGTTATCAATTTTTGTATGTTGTTTATTTTGTCCTGCTAATTTTCTGAATTTGTCAATCATATCATATACGAACAAGCATAATTTGATTCTTCCATTTCCTATTTGTATCCCATTTGTTTATTTCTCTTGTCAAAAGGATCTTGCTAAGATTTCCAATAATAAATTGAAGAAACATGCTGAGAGTAGATATCTTTATCTCATTTTTGATTGTAGCCAAAATGCTTTCAACTTTTCCCCATTAAGCATGACACTCTATATGACTTTATATTATATAGTCTTTATTTTGTTGAGGTATGATTTTGTACACTTAATTATTACACAATTTATGTCAAGAAAGGATGCTGGATTTTACCAAATATTTTTCATTTACGTGTATTCAGATAAGCATGTAATTCTTATTCTTGATT